GAAAATTCGTTCTGTATATTTTTAGTATGAAAAAGAAAATATTAAAAGTAAACTGTGTCTTCTATTCGTGGAAAAACTTTAGTCTCTACTGGGTTCTGCTTCTTAACTTTGCATAATTTCAGATCTTGGTCAACGACACAGAGACAATACGAAATGGCTTAATAGTGCTAATCTTTTCAAACAAGCATTATTATGCGGAGTCAGCGAAATACCGGAAATACCCTTTATTACCCACATTCTTAGATATCGCTAAAAGCTTTCCATGTAAAAGTAATTGTTGTTTGTAAGTAATTATAATAATAATGAAAACAACATGATGACGAGTAAATAAACTTCCGAAAGATAAGTGTAACACGCGTAAGCTTAAAATTTAGCACAAAAAACAACAATTATTACTTTATAAAATAAACGAAAGCGATTCTATTAATAATCCCATGGATTTGTTATACTTCCACCTACAATCTAGCCTTTATTTTTACATACATATTATACTTTCAGTTTAAAATCATTCGTATTTCACTCAGATCAGTGAACTCAATTCCAAATATTATTAAAAATCGATTAAACTTCCTTTCATTTTCTGATTAAAATTTAGCGGTACTATTCATACCAACCCTATCGTGATGCACACAATTAATAAAATTTCGCAATGGACAAGAGGGGTCTTTTGTCCACTATATTCATATGCTAACTCCAGCCTCCTATTTCATCTGAGTACTTCATTGTAGTTTAAAAACAATAGAGATATTGCGACGCGCCACGACAATGTCGCTGATATGTCAAAAACGTGGACTATGTTTACTGTTTTATTTGGTGAACGTGTAGGTAAAAGATTTTGTTCTTGCTATGATTATTAAGACCTCTTTATGGCAAGTACAGACTTTTATTAAATCTTAAGATTAATCATTACTTCGCTTTAAGGGGTTTTTTAAAACAAAGTAAGTTGTCACTATTCCTGTATCGTCTAAATCAGTTTATTTTAAATTTTTAAGACCTAACAAATTTATGATAATACAAAACTTCACCCGACGTAAATTTGAATTATGCGGCTTGTTTTGTGTACTTGTCAACTGTTGGTTTGATTAGACTAAACGTCGGTTGGTCATAGTGCTTACTGGCCCTCATAGTTTTAAAATTTTGTATATCCTAGTGCTCCCTAATAATCAGTATATATTTAGAACGCACAGTCTAAATTATACGCTTATTCCTACTGCGCTGAGTGTTGTGGGTTCGATCCCCATATGGGACAACACTTTGTGTGATCCACAAATTGTTGTTCTGAGTCTGCGTGTTCCTTGTGTCTGTTTCATGTGTGTATTTTAAGTCTCCCGCGAATCAGGACTATATTCCTAGTGCTGGAGTTGTCTTATAGAAACAAAAAAGCAGTATACTTAACGGTAATTATTGAATACGGTCTGAAAATTATTCCATTTTTTTTTAAACCCAAAGCCAGTTGCAGAAAGTTTTGTCATTTCTGTGATTCAGACCCACACCATCCTCCCTTTTTTTCTTATATCCTTACTCATTCTACGAAATACAAACCTTGATAACACTGGGTTGATAAGACATTCACTGTGCCATAATTCGTGATAGTAATATATATGTTTAAGCCAATTATTTGCCGTTACAAAGCAGTTCATTTTCAAACTGCTAGAACGTAGTTAGATTCTCTTTTAACGTATTACGAGTACTATCTAAAGTCGACTATGTAATTTTTAACATAGCAACAGAACTAAATTTGCAATTAAGATATTCATAAAATTCTATGCATAATCCATTAGATGAAAAGATAATCATCAAAACTGAGTACAATAACGAATCCTTCCGACTTATCTATACCACAGGTCAGTTTGCTGAATCACTACTAACAATGGATAGTGGTCCGAAACTCAGGTTCTATTGTAATGAATTAATTAATAAAATCAGTGGGACGGGGGAGGCTATTGTCCACTAAGGATGGATCTGATCTCATTAACCAGTCATTGTGGCCGCTGGTCGGACAATGGTGGTCAGTTCGGGCAATGTCGCGCCGTCATCGCATTGCATAATGAGAGCGTTATTGTTTAGCTTTGATAGTTATTGGGCTTTAATATTAATTGACGTGTTTATTCTAAGCTTAAGTTGGCTTGTATGTTCTCTATACATCGCTACATTTAGGTATGTCAGTTCTAACACCACGACCGCTGCTTCCTACTGCGCTGTGTGTTGTGGGTTCGATCTCCACATGTGACCACACTTTGTGAAATCCCAAATTGTTGCTCTGAGTCCGAGGCCCGTATTTTAAAAGTTGTCTCAGTCGTGAATCTAGTCTTAAAACTAATTTTAAGTACAGTTTTTATTACTGAACGTCATTTAAAACGAGATTCGACACTCCATACTCAAGTGAGTGATAGCTTATTTTAGAACGATGTTTATGTCGAAATCATTACTCAGGTATAGATTTTGACAGCTATGATCTTTGTTTACGTGAGACAAGCTGAAACTAGTCTCAAGCGGTGATTTCTAGGGCATTTAGGGGAAATGAATGTGTTTTACGATGATTTATTTTTGAATAATTACGAAAGATTTACTTTAGTTACGAAAGAATTACTTGGCATACTATAATCAATTTCACTTTCATTTACCTTAATTGATATGAAATTCACCAAAATTCACATTTTACACACACAATACCAGTTTAAATTATCAGAACCTTTTGGTTTATGTTAAAAGTATAGTAATATACATTTTAGAAATATCAAATAAAAACATCGTTTGACATTTCAACATGACAAGTGTTGATAAATAACTTGAACGTTCCGTTATAGCCTATTCATACAGCTAGTCATTTTTATTTTAATATTTATTATACTTTATTTTGAACGAACAACAAGCTTGTTAATATGTTAACATTGCTACACTAGCCAATAGTATATAATATACAAATTCACAGAAATTATTTTTATAAAAGAAAAATTATTTTTGAAATAATTAGCTGCGTAATGCGGAATAATAGTGTCAATCGTGCGGAAACGTAATTGAGAACAGACTGTAAGTTCAAATCAATACTTGAAACCAGTTTCAACTGAGTAAAACTTAAAACGCGTTCTATAATAAGATCGATACTTAAGATTTGATCTGCACAACTAGTTTCAGGCAATCAGAGTACAACCGACACTTTAGACGTCTTTTAAAATACGGGCCCGAGTGTTCTTTGTGTACGTTTCATATTTGTTTGTGAAGTCTCCGCGGCACAGGATAACATATTCCTACAATTGTCTTTAAAAATAAGAAATGAAAAATAACACGTGAAATCATGTGAATTTGTGAACTAGTAAGTGTGGTTTATTCCTCACACAATTGTAACAAAGGATACGGACAGATAGATAGATTGACCAAGATCAAAGTAATCTTGCACAACCTCGATAGTAGCGCGATTTAAGGCCACGATATTCAGGAATATATGCCTATTATATTGGAGGTTAAAGTATGAAATTGCCGATTTGTACTGAAAAATTGAAACTCGTTTTTACTGATATGTGAGATATTTATATAATCAAAATATTTACCCTCATTATCTATACATTGCTGCCATCTAAACGGAAGTTTATTTATCCCTTTATGATAGAACACTGGGAATCTAGATTCAACAAACTGTTTGAAAGCATTTTGTACTACCTCCTAGAAAGAAAATCGGTCATCGTAAACAATCCACTTTACACACACACTAATCCACAAATAGATGCAATGTTCCTTCATTTCTGTACTGATTCAACAAGGCAACACAAGTTTCAACACTCTTTTCTTTTTGCAGATCAGTCAAATCATGAGACACCCATTTTTCATATTTTTTTATCTTATTGATTTGATGCAAATGAGTCAGTATTGTAGGTAGGTTAACATTAAACCATGCCGCTAAGTCCTGGATGTTTGACTCGGATCGGCTTCCACCATCTCCTTCAATTCAGCGTTATTCAACTGTGTAGGCGTCATTCACCTGTGTGGGCGTTCTATCACGTGGTTCGTTCTTCAAGTCGAAGTTTCCATTACGAATGCTTTTAAACCAAAACCGCCCGGTGCGTTCATTAGTAGTCGCAGCATTGATATTACGAGCCGTTTCTGCCGCGTTAGTTCCGCGTCGGAACTCGTATTCAAAAATGACACGGATTTTCGAAGTATCCATCTTTCACGTCTAAGCTGAATAAAAAAAACATTTGAAAGTCGTAAATCGAATCTTGCACATTTTTAAAAAGAAGAACCCCATAGGTATCACGTGACAAAAGTGTCACACAAAAACTTCACACCATGAAGGTTTTATGTCAATTCAAAGTATATATTACTATGCAACGGCAATTTCATAGTTTAACCCCTACTACATGATCTTAGTCGTACCAATGTTCATCCCAAGTCCAGGTAATTTGGAAATTTCTTTCAGATCATGCCCAAATTCCGCCAAGATGACTATGTCGTCTGAGGTATTGGAGTAGTATTGGACATTGATTTTAATACTATTATTGTGACTATTCTAATTCACTGTAATGTTCAACTTACCTACACATTTACAACTATTTTACACATAAATATACAATGTTTTTATACTGATACTGATAAATATATACACTCCATATTACAAGTAACATTCATAAAACTGAATACACACTACACTCATTCCTTACTGACAATCTGCTCTGAAAACTTACTTGCACTTATTACATTTTGTGCGGTGAGAATTCACTGTCAACTATCATATGAGTATGCACCGTGTCGCCAAGTTTCAAATTTCTTTTTTTGGTTTTTGTACGTAATATTGAAATTTCGTGAAGGTTTAAAACCTAAATATAATATTATAAAAATTTTCTTTTTTAACATTCGATGGTGTACAAAATACAATAAGCAATATAGACTCTGTCTCTGTGTCTGAGTCGGCAACTTGCGATTTGGACCGCTGCGCCCCGTCTAACTTCGTGCCTCACCATTGTCTTAAAATACTTAATCAAAATATAAGAAGTATTACAAAGAATATGCCAGGATTTATCATTACACTTGCTCAAACCAATATTGACTGGGACATTCTGGTTTTGACTGAATGTTGGCTTCCTAATACACACAACATCCCCGACCTACCCGGCTACAACTACTTTTTCACTACCAACAACCTTACACAGAATGAAGGTGTGGTTGTTTACGTTCACAAAAACCTACAATGTACGGTGGTGGAACCCCCATTTTTAGATGCAAACTGTCTCCAAGTAACAATTAATAATAACACTAGTTTACTTGCCCTATATCGACCTCCAGGATATAGAGACGCTACCAACTTCTTGGCCTCTCTAAACGACATATTGACTAAGATTGATCATTTTAGCGATATAGTTGTTGCAGGAGACATTAACATTAATATTCACGAGCAATGCCAGGACCTAGTTAAACATAATTATCTGAACTTATTGGCATCACATGGCTTACTACCTGCGCACTCGCTACCCACCCGACAAAATGCTTGCCTTGATCACATTATATTGAAAACACGTAAACCTGCTACAACTCTAGTCGCTAACTCATCTCTTACTGATCACGACACTGTCTTACTATATCTATCAACCAGAATATCAAAAATCAAAACAAAAAAGTTTGTAAATCGCATCAATTATGAGCAATTAGATGCAGACTTCAAACATCTAGACTTTAGTGAGGTATACAAGATGCTGGATCCTAATGATGCAGCAGAGATATTGATTAATTTAATTAAAAATACTATTGACTTGAACTCTAAAATCGTCAAAATTCCAAATCGCAAACAAACTATAAAGCCATGGATTACCCCAGGCTTACTTAGGTGTATTAGGCACAGAGACAACCTACATAAAAAAAGTAAATTGGCCCCTAATAATGATATCATAAAACTTACGTTCAAAAGATATAAAAACTATTGCAACAAACTTTTAAAAACTATTAAGATGGACTACGAAAAGAAACAGGTTGAGAAAGCAGGCAATGACACTAAGCAGGTGTGGTCAGTCATAAATAATATGACGGGCAGATCCAAGGGTAAAGTGAATGTTTCGACCCGGTTGTTGACTACCCTTACCTCACCAGAGGCCTCTATAAACTTCGTAAATGACTATTTCTCAAACATCGGCAAACACCTAGCGGAAAAAAATATGACTGCTCAGAGCGGACCCGCTAAGCCAATTACTGCGAACAACAGTCCGCATTCTATGGTACTGTTGCCTGCTGATGAGGGTGAGGTTGCTAGGATCTTAAGGTCACTTCGTGATGGCTGTTCCACTGGCTGGGATGGAATATCGAGTGGAATTTTGAAAAAACACGAACTAGCTGTGGTGTCACCTTTAACGTACATTTGTAATCTTGTACTCTCTACAGGAAAATTCCCTAAGGCGTTTAAGAAAGCCATCATACACCCAATCTTCAAGGGTGGCGACGGAAGCCGTGTCAACAACTATAGACCGATTGCTGTACTGCCAGTCCTTTCAAAAATTATTGAGCGGGTAATGAATAACCGACTCATTACTTATCTAGAAGGAAACCAGCTTCTCTCATCTATACAGTTTGGTTTTCGAGCTGGTAAATCAACCTCAGACGCGGTACATGAACTCACCGACTATATAGTCACAGAAATGGATGGTGGACAAAAGGTTTTAGGCATCTTTTTAGATATTGCCAAAGCATTTGACACGGTTTCCGTACCCAACCTTATGTCAAAGATGGAAAGCCTAGGAATCAGAGGTGTACCACTGGATCTCTTTAAAGATTATTTAAGTGAGCGTACACAGAGAGTTAGGATAGGCGATTATCTCAGTGATGAGCGTGTACTCACATATGGCACGCCCCAGGGGAGTGTAATTGACCCTACACTCTTCCTTATCTATGTCAATGATATAGGTATGCTCACTCTACCTAAAGGCAGGGCGGTAATGTTTGCTGACGACACTGCTCTTGTGTTTAGTGGTAATACGTGGAGTGAAGTCTACGAGCGTGCTCAATCGGGGTTCAATATTGTATCTAAATGGCTAAGAAGTAACCTATTGACCCTGAATAATGATAAAACACACTACATCACATTCTCTCTGAAAGGCAATCCTTCAACCTCAAAAGCCTCACCTTATACAATACTGGCCCACACGTGTCCTGAACCGCACAGAGGTCAGTGCCCTTGCACTCCTTTACATAAAGCACATTCCGTCAAATACTTGGGTGTGATCATAGATAAAAATTTAGGATTTCATGAACACATAGACGCCCTCAACAGTAGGTTACGTAAATTAATGTATATTTTTAAAACGATTAGATGCGTCTTAGACACTCAACGACTAAAAGCGGTTTACTTTGCCCTTGTTCAGTCAGTTCTCACCTATTGTATCACCATATGGGGTGGAGCGCCGAAAATTAGATTAATTGACCTTGAGAGAACGCAAAGGGCTATCTTGAAGGTGGCACTTTGTAAGCCATATCGCTTTCCTACTGCATTGCTGTACAGGGAGACTGAAGTTTTGACGGTGCGTCAGCTGTTCATTTTGTATACTCTGCTGAAACAGCATTCTTTACTAGTCTATAACCAAACTCCTTCCAGTGTCAAAAGAAGATTCAATCCTGTACAACGTCTTAAGCTTTTAACAAAACATTCCAAACGGTTCTTTTGCCACATGGGCGGCTTCCTGTACAATAAGGTCAACAGAGTTGTACCGATATTCCACCTCACAAAGGCCATGAGTAAGCGAACGCTTACTAATTATTTGAAGGGGTTAAACTATGACGATACTGAAGCGATGCTTTCGGTAATAGTTTAGAGTTTGCTAATGACACGAATGCACATGAACAAACCCATGCCCACAAGCTCACGCATCCACATACTCACGCCTACTCACACACACACACACACACACACACACACACACACACACACACACACACACACACACACACACACGCACATTCACATAAACACACACACACACGCACACTCACATAAACACACACACACAATTAATCACTCACACACATACACATACACACATAATCATTCACACGCAACACACAACAATAATTTATGTACCTCACTTAATATGCTATGCTACTAGAAATAAACTATTAAATATAGTAAAACATGCAACTTTGTAGTGCCGACTTGTGTAAAATAAATAAAAAAATATTAAAATGTAAATATACACGGGGTGGAGACCTGGTGTCCTGAAACACAGGCCTCACACAGGCCTAGCTTAGGCACCAGTCTCCCACAATATTCTGTAATTGATAATTTGTATTTGTTTGTTTTATTCAAATGTAATGTATGCTATATTGTGGTGAGAAATTAAATTATTATTATTATTATTATTGATATTGATACCGCGTCCGTTCCAATCGAGCTTCTTGAAGAAGTTTCCCGATGCATTAGTAAACAGTTTCAAAGATATATCATTTCCCTGTCTTACCCCGCAATACAATTGGATTGGTCTTGGACGCTCATCGTTGCGCCTTTTAAAGACATCAGCGATGAGCAGTTTATTTTAGCTAATTGATTCTATCTCTAAAGGTGAAAAATCAGGATATAAACTGTGCATGTTACTTTCTGTTTACTGTTCATAAATAATTTCAAAGTTATTTGAAGGCGAAAATAAAACATTTATTTTAATAATTATTTAATTATTAATATTTACCTGATGAACGCCTGCAACTCAGGAGTCACAAGCGCATAATAATTTAGATTATAAAATTCAAGAAAACAGTTAATTAATTTCAGTTAAAAATAACAGTAGTTTCAGCAACTTCGTAGTTAACGTAGGCGCAAGCTACAGGGCGCTACGAGATTGCGAAAACTCCTCTACGCACGTATCTAAAGATTTCGTGCGTAGTAAACCACCACAAATGTATCTCAAAAGAAAAACTAACTTACTTATTGAAATGTAGCATAATCAAACTTTATGAGTTTATATTATGTTATTAAGTAAATGTTATGTTATTAAGTAAATACCACTAACAAAGACGATAAGGAGTTAGTGTACATATTTCATAAATGTGATGTTTCTATCTTCTAATACGGTATTGTACTACTTAACATGTTAGAAATGTCGTCTTAGTCGCGTTTATCTAATTACAAGTGATCAAATTTACCTGGTTATCTTGTATTTATTTTATTACCTGAATTGTAAATCCGAAAATTTACATTTAAATAAAAAATGAATAAATATTACTACCTAGACCAGCTGGTAATTTGTCATAATAAAAACTAGTTTATAAAAATTTTCACTTAGACACAATCATTAACAATTAAGATCAGGGTTAAAAGAAGTATTTAGTTTGTTATGGAAATGTATCGGTTACCCTTTAGGTTTAGCTTAATCAAATACATTTCAAAATATTTCAAGCGATCAATCTACTACGTAAAAATCGCCTAGAATATTTAAGAATAAAGTAAAAAAATGTAGTCAGTGCAATATTATAGACGAAAACGGCTTATTCTTAACGATCACCACTAAAACTGCCATCACTGGTGGTCGTTGGGATAACATTGTACATTTGTTCCCATTGTTGAAAATCTTTTTCAATTTGCAATCTCCTTATGAAAAAATAGGAGGCATCTTTTTGGAGAACATTGAAAACATGAAGGAAAGTTGGGTTCTTTCGGCCCACAGCTGTATTCAGATTATGAGGACATGTCTCGGCTAAGTTTGTTGTCCTATGATGTTCCCTAAAAACATTCCACACAGGTATGAAATCTTTCTTTAGCTACGTTTCTTCTACGTACTTTCTAAAGGAGACCGACAGAATCAGGCCATAAGACGGGCAGCAATTTTGGAAACAAATTAAAATAGCAATAGTTTTATTTTATTATGAAATAAATAGTCGTGAGAATATTTTTCTCAAATGTATCAAATGAACATAATATATATTAAAAAATCATGACGTACAATTTCATTCAATCTGCAACCAAAACTAAAACACAAACACTGCTGAAAAAAACTCCTATGTGTTGCAAACTACAAAAACGGTGGAAAAAGATAGCCAAAAATGCTCAATACTAAATGAAAGTCTCATTTCGAATATTTTACGAAGAATATTTTACAATCTGTATTTTACTTTAAAAATATATTTAATGTAAAATTAATACAAAGTTTTTTTTAATAAATTTTTATTTAAAATTTGAAAAATGTATTGGGTAATTCTGTTTTTATATTTAAGTAACACGAGGATCAATCTGTTATCTCATGTCAATCATTCGTTTACGCGGTAACTATCATCAGTTTAGTTTTCTTTGACATCTATTCAATTTTAGTTGTTTAGATAGCATTTAATTAATGTTTAATAAAGTTAGTTAGGTAATAAAAGTTAGTTTAGTTAATAAAATGCTTATTTTTAGCTTTCAACATCAGTGGAGAGCTAAAAATTAAATAAATACCTTTTTTTTCCTGTGCGGAAATCCCCTCGGATACCACCGTGGTGGTTATGTCGGAGTGGAGAGCTAAAAATTAAATAAATACCTACAAGAAAACAAGACGTTTTATAATATATTTTTTTCTTTTTTATAACTGTTTTCACACTAAACTAATTAAATTATTGGATTTTACATAGCTTCAGCTACGAAATAGTAATAATGGTATTGCGAAATTAATATGCCTGCGCCTTTGCCAAAGTCCTGTACAAAGCTGTCGGTGTCCTTTACCAATATTTCTGGTAATAAGCTATACAGGGTAGAACTTATGGTACTTAATTTTATTTAAATGACTCCTTTGGAAGTAGTTTTTGCGATTCAATGACACAATAAAGCGCAATATACTTACATTTTATGAATTTGGGATGCGATGGAAATAAAACATTTTTTTTGTGGGATCCAACGCCGAAAATATTAAACTGGGATCCAACGTAAATAAACCTCCAAAAAAGCAGTTATAAATAACGAATTTTTATAAGAGGCCTAAATGGGACTTCACTTCAGATAACGACATAACCGTGGGTAAATTTTACAGTTCCCAACTGCTTCCGGTGGTGACGGTTGGGAACAAATGTACAATTTTGTCCCAACGACCACCAGTGGTGGCAGTTTTAGCGGTGGCCGTTGAGAGTAAGCCACGAAAACTAATAGAGGCAGGAACTTAGAGTTCTTCTCTTACTCTAAGAGGAGAACAATAGAAAACATATTACACTTGTATTCTATCTTCTATACACAATACAAAATATATTTTCAAAAGAATCAACAACGTTTGTTCAATTAATGCCACAGTCATTGTTCGCAAACTCAAGGTCGATAAACCTTAACAAAACTATCCGACCCCCGCAAACGCTGAAAAGGAACAGAAAATTCTTACACAAAAGTCTCGGGCAGCGGACAATAGATGGCGCTTGATCTAGATAACGATATGTTAACATTGTCACAATGGAGACTGTAATGGTGCGATTGTACTGCTTGGCACAATGCTTTTAGATGTCACTTCCAACAATGAACTCGTTCGATATCTGCTACTGTTGTGCCCGCTCACTCAAACGGCCAAATCGAATGAAAATCGTTTTGCTAACTAAGGTAAAGTTCGGCGGGAAACTGTCGCGTAAAGGAGTTCGAAGTGGCAGATGTACTGCTTACAAGTGCTATCTGTTAAGTTGTTGAGGTAAGATTAGCAATCAGCAAAGTTCTATTACGGTAACAAATAGATTTTGTAACAAAGATGCGTCGATTGCATGGGTGATTACTTCGAATAACAGAAATAAAAAAGTTTGAAAAAATAAGTACTTTCACTTATTGCATACAAAACGGAATTTCATAGATAAATCCCTAATATTTTAAAGTTCTTTCAGAAAGACATATGAAGCTTGGACATTATCTTATCTCTGAATCTATTCTAAGTTAATTTTTTTATTTTATTCTAAGATTTTGATTTCCTTGAGAAATTTTGTATTCCCTGGGGAGGTGGTCACTAACGTATACATTCCCTGCAGGGTCTGCCGGACAACAGTAGCTGATCCTTCACCAGGTGCCAGGAGAACTTGACCACGATGGCGGGAGCCCGAGAATCCAGTGAAGTGCTGCCGGGTGCACCCTTGCGTATCCCTGAAATCTCTACATTATTCATTGTAGCGATTTAATTGTAGATTGTTTGTTTTACCTGCAAGAACAGATCGGCTTCCAAAGATGCGATTGTAGAGAATTTGTTTTCAAGGATAACCAGACGATTTTATAATTATGAAAAACGGGTTACCATCTCGTCCCATTTAGAATTTAAATTTCGTAATCCAGCGGACACGTTACGTATCTCTGATTTTAATGAGCGAATTTAGACATAAATTCTTTAACAGAAGAGAATTCTTCTCTCAAAACTCACTCACTCAACTTTTGCTTAAGGCAGAGGCACTTTGACACTGGGAGCAAAGTCAAGCTGATTTTTTCAATACCCAGTTTACAATAAGTCGTCTCGCTTATATCCGCACAGGCGAAATGGAGTTTTTTTTGCATTCCACAAAATCACTGGCTAGTTCCTTACACGCGTTACATTTGATCATTTCGATTAGATAGAAGACAAAACAGTGATTTAAAAGATAATAACTTGTAACAAGTACAACACGAAATTACTGCGATAGTGCGTCGCGAGAAACGGTACGGTATCTGCGGGTAGACTGAAATACTACTACGTATATTAACACTACTTTAAGGAAACGAATAAGAAGACGCAAATAAAAATATTACTAATGTAATAAATAATAACATACAGCTCTCATAAGCCACAATGTTCATAATAATAAAAGTTCGGTCTCAATTCAGTGTGACTGCAGACGTTCATGGGCGGCGATGGTCACTTTCCAT